TAATGAGGACCCACCTCATGTGAGAATTTTTGCTCTACCAGGTCATTTACAGGCTTTGTAGAGCAGCATTATTCAAATTACAATGAGCAAGAACTCAAAATCAAGATTCTTATTCGATAGAGTGTATATCTCTCTATGTGTTCGATCACAAAATTGCAAATTCATGCCAAGGTTATGATGAGTGGACTGTTTAGATTTTAATCTAAATCAAAGTTAATAATTAATTTTAACAATATATTTCATGAAACTCACAATTTTTCAATAACACATTTCATCAACTTTTATCAAAATTTACTAAAACTTTGATTTCTATCCCCATCTAACATGAACTCGATTTTTTTGAGTAGAAGAGAAAAGCTCCTTAGTCGGTTATTATGTATCAAACTCTACCAGTATGCTATGACTTTAAAAGTGACTTATCTTAAATATTAGAGTGAAACTTATAATTATGATCCAAACATTACTCTAAAGCTCAAATTTTGAGAGTTTATTTTTATGGCATCTTTTTCTATTTTCCTTTTCTTGAGGTCTAATTCTAACAAGTTAGTATCAGTTCCATGTTATCACTACTGAATTCAAGTCTTGTAAAATGAAATGTCGGAAAAGCAAGAGTTGCATAAGACCTGTCGAGCTTGGTCGGGGGAGGATGGGAGGAAATGAGAGGCTGTCGTTTCATATATAAAATTAGTCTCCAAGCCCATTCTAATAACACCTCGTACCATCTAATCCACATTGCCCTCACATACACGTATAATACTATAGAGCTTGAATCCAATTTGCTAATTTTCAAGCCAATTTGGGTTCAAGCCAGCATATCTTTGAGTCTCAACCAGCATAAATTTGAGTCTTTCCCCAAGATCAGCAGCTTACCTCTATTCTGATGCAATATCCTCAAATTCCGTCATAACCACTGCTTTAAATGTTGGGTACGCGCTAGACACTAAAATAAACAAGATTTTAAAGTGAACCCTGATAAAGAAGCCACTAACGCAAAGGTAAGCTGTATAAGGCAGTAATAGATATCATATTAAGACATCACAAACAAATAAGCGACTGCATTTTAAATGACAAAGTCAGAAAAATAAAGGAAAAGAGAATTAACAGTTTGCAACACAAATTTCATTTATGTTCCTGTAGAAGTATAGCAAATTCCTTAACCAAATTGCTAACTATACCCGGCCCTTCCCAATTATTGAAGCTGTGATTTTTCTGAGTAACTAAAGAAGTTGGTGCAGAAACAAATTGAAATAAACTAAGAGAATATAAAACAGTTTGGAATTTCTGTAGATCCATATCTGGAATCAGATACTTCAGCAACCCATCACAGCACAATTATAGACAAAACTTCCAGATTGTTTGAGGCCCAGCAAGTTCCAACGAGGAGGACCGTCATCAGGATCCCAAGAATTGATCTCAATGAACCCTCGTTGATAAGATCTCGGCCCACCAATTACAATAAGCTGGTCTCCACAAGACCGAAATGCTAGTCCCCAGCCGTTCATTGAGCTTGCCTGCTCAGGCAGTTTGCCAATAGTATTCCACGAGTTCCTCTTTTTGTCATACTTCAGCACTTCCATTCTGGCATAATAAGCTGCATATAACTCATTCTTAACAACAGCAAGCAAAGGTGGAGCCTTGGATGTTGCAGGCGTATTATTGTCCTCCGCCCCACTGTTAAGTGCTGGGTACATATCAGGAATCTCGTGCCAAGTCCTTGTTTTCAGATCATAAACCTCCCCACTAGTGAGCATAACCGAACTGCCAACTCCAACCCCACCAACAACATAAAATTTCCCTTCCATAAATACCCCTGAACATAATTTCCTTGCTTTATTCATGCTCGGGAGGATTACCCAAGTTCCTGTCTCAGAATTATATAGCTCAGCTGAGCTCAGTATATTTCCCTGTGAATCACAACCGCCAGCCACAATTGCAATTTCCCCGAGACTAGCAGAACCAAAGAGGCATCGAGGTGTGTTTGTCTTCACGCCAGGCGACCATGAGTTGGTCAATATGCTATATTTGTAGGTAACAAATGATAATATTTCCTTTCCAAATACAAGAAGTTCGGTACCTACTGCCAATGATTCCTTATCAGAGCACATGAAGCAGTCATTTGACATCATTGTAGGCAAATGCATCCATCTGCAGTGGATCGGATCAAAGGCCTCCCACTCGAGAAGGCTGCACGAGAAGTAGACCCAATGTTCGGTGATACCCATAAGCCTCCTCAACCTGTAAAGCTCCCCACTACGAATTAGAGATCTAAAGTCCCGATTCAACGAGGCAATGGATCCATAATCAGCCCTCGAGCAACGAATCAGGCAACTGATTGAAAGGTCTTTGCCGATTTGGCCGATGAGTGAACCCGAACCCAAACTCGTACGATCCCCTTCAGTGCCCTGATTATGTGATTGTTGACTAGAAATGAAATCTTCCTTCTCTACAGGATTGAGAGGCTTGGATGACTTTGTTGACCCAATCTCTTCTGCATCCTGTAAACGACGCTTTCCTTTCGACAGTTCGATGACATGATAAGTATTATAAATCCACTTGCTCTCTTGCTCACAGGCACTTGGCAAATCCCGTGCAATGAGAAATGATGGACCCTCCAACATGGCGGCAAGTACGTCAATATATTAAAGAATAATATATCCAGCGAAAGATACCGACAAGCCAAATAAAAGCTGTGTCCCTTCTGCAATCAATTAAAGATCCCGACGAAAAGATACTCATAAATACCAAAAGCATAACAAGTCACATCTAAAAAGATAATCTTTGTATGAAATTTAATGATCCAACATGCAAAGAGGGAACAAAAATACCGACAAATGCTTAGGTAACAAACTAAACTGTAAAGGACAATACTGTTCGACAAGAAACTAAATCACAATTATTTTTGAAGCCAAACCTATTTTGTTAGGCACAGATCATAAGTAGATAAAGCTTTATAGGAACACACCCTCAAACCAACACACTTGGCAGTTTTACAAAGAAAACATATAGCAAACCACTCAATACGAGCAACGTATCCTTGAAAAAATCTTCTATGCAATGATCCGACCAAATATACACCACGTCTCCTTCTCAAGCATACTGAATGAAAACACCATATAAATCACTCAATTTGGACATACCCAAATTTGCAATTAGTCCCATAAACTACCTTACTTATCTAAAGAAAGCATTTTTAAACACCCATGTGGGGAAATCTTTATCAACAATATAGACTGGCTATATACTGATGACTATGTGTAACCATAAAATAATTAAGTATAGCAGATAAATGATACACAAAAAAGTGTTCTCAAGCCATTAATTCTCCAGTAACTCAAAGGCCACAAACTATAATTCAGTGAACTGAGACACAATCAAAATAAAAATTAAAAAGACAAATTACAATCATTTGTAATAGAGATGATTTCAATTGTAAAATAAGGATCTATCTATAGCAATATAAAAGTTCCATAATTAAATTTACAACAGATAAGAACAGCATGCAAGTAAAATATATGCCACAGAAATGAAAAATCTCCGAAAACAAATCGGCTAATTTTTCAAGCTAAACAAATAAAGGGAAATCATTATAGCGGAATTGATCTCAAATCCAACATTCTACATTAAATAGCAATATAATAACAGAAACAAAAGGAGCATGCGTAAAATAAAAAACAATTTTCGAACATTGAAAGAAAATTCCCATATACCCAATAAAGATTCAATCTATGATTGCACTTCTTCACAATTTTTCATGATAAAATCACCAAAAAGCACATTAATATACATATAAGAATAAAACATTCCCAATTAACATGAAGTCTATAGATATACTTCATCATATTAGTTACCAAATCAAACAAAAACAAGAACACGAACACGGATAAATCAAATTCATGATAAAAAAACTGAAAAAAAAAAAAACTCACAGATTGTGTAAAGGATATATCACTTGAGTGATGATGCCGCATAAAAAAAAATATACATAAACACTTGTATTTGTGGGTATTTAATATATATGCATGTCTTCTTCAATGGCTAGTTCTTTTCCATCTGGATTTCTCATTGCTCTCTCTAAGAATTTTTTGATTCTGGCATTGTGGGTTATACTGAAAATGGATTGATTATTGTTATTGTGAAAATAATATAAACAAATGATTTAACGGAAAAGGTAATGGAGGTGTCAATGGGGCCCACAATAGCCGCGAAGGAAATCTGAACGGGCTGTGGACGAGAAACGACAAAGTTAACGGCCGTTATGCACGTGTACACGGACTTTTGCCGAATGAAACGGCTTTTGCTTTTCTTTTTTATTTTTCTAAAAAAAGGTTTCCATTTCCGTACGACTCTCCGTTCCGGTCCTCGTGCACTCCGCAACACTGGATTTATTATTTTTATTTTTATTTTTTGCCCTTTTTATAACTTCGAATGTCTCCTTTTCATCTCTCTCATGAAATTTGCTAAAAAAAAAAAATCCTCTCTTCTTTAACTATACACTTTTCAATAAGATAATATTACACGTAATTTAAAAAAAAAAATCATTTTTTTAATTATGCATTATCCATCAATTTATTATTCAAAAATACATTCTACACAAAAAATGAGGACAACTTTTTTGCTATATTGAGTTTTAAAAAGAGTTCGTGGGATTTGGAAGATAGGTGTAATGTTTGGGAGCGTGATTCCGATCGTGGTGTGGTGAAATGCATCGATTGGCGATATTTGAATTGTTTATGTCAAGTTATAACGATTGTAACATGACCTTAAAAGTAACAAATTTTTGAATAATTTTATTTAAACTCTGGGGGTGTATTCATAATCAATTGAGACTTTTAAACCCTTTTAGATTTAGAAAGTTTAAGGGTATTGTTCCTGAATCTTGAGGATGTTCCAGAATCTTTTCGATTGCTTGTTCCAGAATTACGATCTTTAGCTCTTGAACTAAACCACTATTGAAGCTCTCTAAAAATGTTGACGTATTCAATTGAGATTTTTATAGACTTTCAAAAAATCTTTAAATGTCACGGTATATTCAATTAAAACTTTCTTGAAGCATTTATTAGTCTCGTGGTATTCAAATTGCCAATAACTTTTTAAAACATTTATAAAAGTCTTTAATATATTAATTTTTAAGTAAAAAGTACAAAAAAAAAATCTCAAAATTTGCTTTCATCATTACAAAATTTTGGTAAACTATCACCCAAAAAAAAAAATTATTTGTTTCAATATTTCTCTTTTATTTCCCCATCTATGGACATTAGAGCCATGATTAAAAAATTATTATATTTTCTACCGATTATATTTGTTTCTATTTCTCCTTTCTTTTTATCTCTCTTTTATTGTTTATCTTCATCTCCTATGAAAAATTTATGGTAACTAAAGATTCTCATAACTTTTTTTTCCTTTTTTCATCTGTTTTTTGTGAGAAAAAAAAAATCAATTTGCAACTAAATTATAAAACTTTATATAAAAAAGACTAATTTATAATTAAATTTGAATATATTGATTTATTGTCAACTCTTTAAAGGTATGTAATATTATAATGCTGAATATTAAATTTTTTATTTATTCTTTTAATTAAAGTGACTTAATTTTTTATTCTTTTAAAAATATTTTTTGTTACGCGGGGAGTAGAAAGGGAATTGTGAGAATCACTACCTCGAATGTGAGAACTTCACACTGTTGTACCATACCCACTTGAATTATATTTTAAAGGGAAGTTTTCAAAAAAAATTTGAATTCTATAATAGTATATAAAAGTTTTCAAAAGAAAGTCTATAGAATTCTACAAAACATTTTAATTAATTCCATACAAATTTATGAGAGTCCACGAAATCCATAAAAAGTCCATTCAAAAGTCCAAATTGAATATACCCCTTTAGTAGGTTGTGGCGTCGATGGAGACGTATACTGATTGTGATGTTGGAAGATGGTGTTTGGGTGATGATGGAAGATGGTGTTAGAGATTAAGACTAGAGTAACCATGTAAAATTTGTGTTACTTAATCAATAATTGTTACCCTACGAAAATCGAATTTTTGTTATTTTAACTGAAGATGGGTAGGTTGTAGCATCAAATGTGGTGAAGGTGTTCAAAGTCTTGAGTCTAGGGTAGAGGTGTTTTGTAGATTGTGTTGGTTGAAAAATTAAGGGTAAAATGGTAATAAACATGCTACCTAAGAGTCGGTCTGAGCTCCGTGCTTTGATAAAAATGAATTTTAAAATAATATTTTGATGGAGAATGATTTTTTTAAAAAAAATTATATGTAATATTATTTTATTGAAAAATGTGTGGTTAAAAATAAGAAAAAGAAAAATGTATTTTAAAAATAATAAGGACCAAATAAGGACTAAGTAAACCATGATTTTTCTTTGTGCGAAATAGTGATTATTAATAAAAAGTAACAAATGATAACACAATATTTACCATATAAAACATTGGTTTTTAATAATAATAATAATAATAATAATATATGTTACACCAAAATATTATTTTTTGATAAAATAAATAAATATTTTAATGTTACAAATTACAAATTGACATACGTACACGTTACTCTAACACGTAATACGTACACGTTACTCTAACACGTAATTCATAAAAATGGTGTTTTTTAATGAAAAAATGAAACATTAATTTCTTTTATTGATTTTTAATTAAAAAGAGGTATTTTTTTAAAAAATCGTAACAGATGGTTTATTTATTTATTTTTTGGACAAAAGTAGGATAGTTATGAACTTATCTTTACATACATAAGAAAGGGAGTAAATAATACTCACATTATTTAGGCATATTAGCATGATTCGATACAATTATCACTCCTACACGTGAAATTCTCCATGATTGGGATCAATTCCACATGTTAACTGACAATACATTTATGAGAAAGGGCATCTCAAAACGGAAATTGGGACTCTTGGTAACAATTCGAATAAAATCTTTCCTATACTTTTTTCTTTCTTCATCAATTTTTCGAGGACTCAAATGCATCTTCATTCTTCATCGACAGCTAAGAATGAGAGGCCAGTATTTAGTTATTTACCATGAAGCCTAAGTTTTGGGTTTTAACCACGACAAAATCAAAATTGAAGCTTTTACGAATCTAAAGAGTTTAAACAAAGTTCAGGCGTAAAATAACATAAAGCGTGACTAGGCAACAATGTCAAGTTTTACGTCCAGACGCACTTTTTAAATCACTAATTTTAACTTGGGAAGCCAGAAAACAAAAATAAGAAACGAGTGATATGACATGATACGATAAGTTGATATAAAAAAAGTTACGGTATTTATATTGTATTGGGAATTGGAGTTCCACTTAGAAGGTCAAGCTTCTCAAGAGACTTGTCAAACTCGTTGATTATTTATTTGACTAGTCACTCAAACTTTAAATGAATCGAATTACTCATTTGAATATTTTAAATTCCAATGCTATATTGAGTATTGGGATCGTATCTTAAATGGTGATACGTGTAAAAATGAGTAACTCAAATCTACATATGTGGATTATTGTTTTCGTTTGTAAGTAACCTAGGATTTTTAAAATATGTTAGATGTGCTATACTAAATAAAATTAAATATACACAGGAAATTGTATTTATGTACTATACACCAAACACATTATAATAATATTAAATTATAGTTATTAAAATGGAACAAAAATGTAACCCATGTTTTAGCATTATCAATTGAACTCTTTAGCATCTTCTAAAAGCAATTGGCAATGGCATATATATTGTAGTACAAGAGCATATGGTACTTCAATGACATAACATGACATTCTAGTATTAATGCTTTGGCATCTTTAAATATACGCACCACTGCCATCATTAGTCCCCCATGTAGCCCATATATGGGCATATGCCTAGTAACTACAAGACAAAAAACCCTATATAGGAAATGGAATTTTTGTGCCAGCTTTATATTTGGCTCATGAGGAATATTTTCGATGAAAACAGAGAAAATTGCATGTTTGATGCATCGTATTAGATAAAATAAAAGTTATGAGTAAAATGATCATTTCTTTCTTACAGTTATGATATCAAAGTTCGGTACATTTTGGAAAAAAAGATAGTCTTAAGAGAGACCATTCGAAATATTATATTTGCGACGTCACTTCTACTTTTTGGACTGCTTAATACGTCAGTGGATCTAAAGCAGTTCTTCGAGCACTACACACATTGTGCCATTTCAATTAAATTTTCACCTAATTATAATCTTTTAAATACCATAGTTCTAGTATGAAAGTTTTAAATTATTGAATGTTTAGACCCAACGTGCGGAATTATGCAATTAAAAACAACAAGTCACTTTTTAATTATTTCTAGATGGTTAGATCAAACAAATTAATTTATCTTAAATTTGAATACCACAATCAATAATAAAGCAGTAAAGAACACCAAAGATAATCACGGAAAAACTTTAAAAACTCCAGGACGCTTTGCCAGTTAATAATTCACTATAAATCGAAGCAAACTTACAGTACAGTCTAGACATGTCTATCCCATAAAACTTCCGATCTCAATTCCTGCAGTCTCCCTTGATCTTATTGGATGTGTGCTCCTTCAAAATAAATCTCGACTCCTAATTTATACTTTAGTCATCCTGGACTGCGAGATCTTGATGTCAGATCTCGACTCCTGGTACCTCTCCTTTGTCCTCCTGAATTTGTGCTTCTCTAATAGCTCTTGATCTCTAGTATTGATTTATTTCCGGTGGATTAGATAGTTTGGTGTTTGATCAAAAAATCTTGTGTGTTTTGATCTTGCAGACTAATGTAAGAGATATTGGAATATGTTTTTGGCTTTCAAATAACAAACTCTTGACTCACTAGTTGAATCAATATATAGGTTGAATAATGAACAAATAATATTGTGGTTGAATTAAAAAATCAATGAAAGAATGTTAGGATCTTCAAAGAATGATCTTTGTAATCAAACTATTGTTCAACCACACTTTTGGACGTCCCAAAGCGTGTATATTTATAATGTGTAGTGTTTGGGATGAAAATGAATTCAAAATCAACTTGAAAATCGAATATTACCATTCTTCAGACAACAGCATCACTCGAGCTCTAGGCTAGTGACGGGCTAGCGGCAGTTGAGCGGTCATCAGTATTTTTATCATAACTTTTTCTCTCGATGTCTGATTAAGGTGATTCAAAATGTGTTGGAAAGCTAATTCAAAGAGCTACAATTCTTCTTGCAATAGCCTTATCTAAATTCCAATATTTTCTATGTGAGAAATGCGTTGCAAGTTGTGACTAAAAATTTTGAGCAGAACTTGTGTGGCTTTTTGACACTCTTTGGACTTCTAAATGCATTTCAATGATCATATGTAATCTTCTTGGACTCCTTCAAGGACTATACTACCAATCCAACTCTTTTAACTTTAATTAGGATTTAATAACTCATATTTTGACTTTGATTACAACTCGATAAAACTCATAATACAGTTCAATTAGGGCTTTATTTTGACTACGAAAATTATCAATTACAAATTTAGGAATTGCCAATTATAATTTGGACTTTACATAGTACATCACCAACTTTTAAAAGGGAGCAAGTTGATCATCAACCTTTTATTGTAGTTACACTGAGTAATTAACGATAAATACTATCTAAACCTCAATTGAATTGTCATATGCCTCATAACTCTCAAATGTTCAACTTTATGAAACGAGAAAGCTTCCCAACTTAAACATACTGCCTAGAACTTTTAAGTCGACATGTTTTCGCAGGGATTACACGACAATTTAAAATATTTCAATACTTACTATAGTTGGGAACGGAGAGTGCAACAATTATAAAAGAGGTTGACAACCAACTTGCTATAGAAGCAATATCTTGGGGACAAATGATACAATTTTCTCAAAGATTTAGAACCATTCTTTCTTAAAATTGAGGTAAAATTCATAATCTCTAACTACACATTAGGAAAAAGGTCGAATGTATGTACAGAAATGTGATGAGAGACGTGCTTGTTAGCAGGCTAAACTTGCATGTAACTGTAGTTTATATAGTTTCCATTGTTAAAAGCCTTCCTCCTGCTGTCCTGCACATCTACTATTATTTCTATCACCCTATCCAAATTCCATGCCTAACTCCAGTTAGCCATGAGTCTACTGCAGTAGGATATCTAGGATGCGGTTTGCTCACAAGCGGTGTAGTCTTGGCTCTCGGTAAGCTCGAGTATCCAGGCAGACGGGGACAAGATATAAAGGATTAACAACCGGTGCCACACAAGGCAATCTATGATGATGATCATCACCAATTTGTGATTCCAGTTCTTGAAGTTCACATTCAGGTGGGGCTACATTCAGGTCGAGTTGCGGACCAGAAACCCTCTCCATGAGTTCACATTGCAGTTTCTCAATTTGAGCCTCCAGAGCAGAATTCTCATCTCGTAACTCCTTTTTCTCCATGCTCACCTGTCAATAAAGAAAGTTAGCTCGGGCTAAGTTTAGAGTTCCCGTGAACATTTAAAAGAACCTGGCTATTGTATTAGATCTAAAATAGTGCCCCAAAACTTCATTTATAATTTTTGTAACTTTCCACTCACCGTGTCCTGTTTCTCAAGAAACTCAGTAAATTACACTACACGGCGCGTTGGGATTCAAACTTTATTTACAAGATCAGAATTAGTCTAGTGATTAATGGAAAATCATAGGAATTTGAAATTCTAAAATCTCAAAGATTTGGTAACTATGCTAGAATCCTCTTTCTCAAATTTAGTGTTTTTTTTTTAATTTTACAAACACACCCCTTTATTCCTGAAGGTGTGTGTACTGTTATTAACTTATTATCAGAAAACATTAATCGCCACATTATGAATTGACATAGAAGTTATTATCAGAAAACATTAATTAACTTAGGTTCAGTTGTTATACTGCAAGTCATAAAAAGGTATCGACACAGAATGTGAAACCTTAATGTCAATGGACTTACATATTGAGATTCAGACAACAAAGCTGCATTTTCTTTTCCCAGACAGATGATCTCATCTAGCGTGTTCTTCACCATACAAATCGCTACATCCAATACAGATGCCTTACCATCGATCCGCTTAGATAATTCTGTAAAAACGATGTCATTTATGACACCACGTTTTGATGTCAGATTTCACGTTCTGAAACTGTCGTTATGTGAATGGAGCCATCACTTAATAGAAATTTTGTTAGAAAGGCAAAAATGTTACATTTGAAGTAGAATCATTTGAGCATCTGGAAATTACCTAAAGCATTAGATAAAGAAAGAAAGAAAGATTTCGTTCAAGCTCTCTCTCAGCCTTGGAAAGTCTGTTTGGAATTTTTTTCTGATTCTTCTTGCCAGAATAAGCCCTGCTTCAAGACATCAGATGGATCTTAGTACTCATTAACTCAAAAGTGGAATATTTTTCTTTTTTGATTAAATGAATTAAAATAGAAGGCCAAATGGTGCAAACATTCTATAATCATGATGATAGTCGATTTAAACCTACGAAGCAAAAAAATAAAAATAAAAATCAATTCGAATAACTATGTGCGCATGCAACAAATCAGTACAGATGATATAAGAGTGTGGATAGTATATTTTTTATCTTTTAATTTCTGAAAGAGAAGGCCATATACTTTTTCAGAACCACTGAAGTTACTTTTCTCCTCAGACTCCGGGAAGCCTTGCTAAAATTGTATGTAACGTAGTTTCATATCACAGCTTGAAATACGCGGATTGACCGTAATCAAAATGAAATGATCTAGAATTGTATTACTCAAATGTGAGTACTATAATTGATGGAGGATACTGCTATAACCAAAACACAACGTAAGCAGTAACTCAAGAACATGAAGAACACAATCAGATCATCAACATCAAAGAATTGATTATCATATTTAGGGCTCAGAACAATACATTGTACCATTCTGTACAAATGAAACATCCACAAAGACCCAAACCATAAAGATCGAACAATCGCAGCTACTACAATATAACCTAAGGTCAAACAACCGATCTCAACACAAAACCCTCAATCGAAAAATCACATAGACTCAAATCACACAGATTTAACAATCAAAACCAAAAGTTTTAATCAACACAAAGTAATCTAAAGAAAGAATGAAAGAGATGACACAGAGAAAACTCCAGAAACTTCTCGCACAAGAACATAATGAAAAGTTACTAAAGGGCAGTTCAAGCCCTTTAAATACACAAACCCATAATCGTAGATCTCAACCAATGGTCAACGGCCCATAGCAGCACACATGTCCATCAAATGGGTCGAGTTTTGGGCTTATTTCAAATGAGTTATCTGGCAATGGCTATAACCAATCCAGCAATGAGCTAGGCTCAATTTCATTACAGCTCAGTGAACTGAATGCANTGCAATTAATATAATTGGCATCACAGCCCTCAAGTTAATATTTAACTTTTATTATTGTTGATTAATTAGTTTTTTACTAATTTATGTTTATTAGGAGATTTATTTCGAGTTTTATTAAAATATAATTTATTAGAGTTATTTTCTTTTAAGAGTCTAGTTATGATGTTTGCTTAAATCAGCAAATTATGATTTTACTGTAAGTAGGCTGTTTATAAATATTTATTAAAATCATTTTTTAATTGTGCATCCAATAATTAATTTGTGCCCGAATTTACGTTTGTAATTTTGTGTTTTTTGCAGATCAATTAGTTCACTATTATATGAGCATAAATACACATTATATTTACAATTTAGTTCACAAATTAATTGTATGTATAGATTATTTTTAAAAAGACGAACGATTTAAAGTTTACTAATATAAATAGATAAATGCTACAAAAGGGGCAGCAATGGAAAACAAAATTATATTGCCAAGCATGGGGTGGGATCTATTTCCATACAATATTTGCCATTTGGGCCCTCTTTATCCTTTTTCCGGCAGAGGGTTCCCGTTTTGGGCTTCTTTTAATTGGTCTGAGAAAATGCTGAAGGGCCCTTATTTGGGCCTTTCCTTTTTCACCTGTGGTATTTAGGCCCTTTACCTCCTCATTTATTTTTTAAATTTAAAAATAATAAATAAGAGTCAGAGAAGAGAAGAGAAGAGAAGAGCAGTGTAAAATTAAAATTTATAGTTCATAGATATGAAGGAGTCTCCAAGATATTTTGGGCAAGCAGCAGTTTGCCGTACTCGAGACATTTGAATTATGTTACTGACAGAAATACGGCAGGGCTCGTGGGCTTTGGACATGCGTACTATATATTTTGCAGGCAATAAAATGCACCATCTGCTTGTAGGCCATCTTCATGTCCTGATTGAGATTTACAATGAAAAATAAAATAAAATCCAGTAACTTAGTAGATAAATTTGCATGCAAATTATCAAGAAGCGTTGAGCCTAGGTCCAAAGTTCGAAATGCACTCAAGACGTAATTTTTGTCTCAAGATTTTTCCTTTAAAGACACTCCCACCGTCCCACGATGTAACTGTATAGATGATCGTTGCCTCTGAACATCGATAAAGATGCTCCAAAATCAGATTGTGTTTCATCGATAGGGAGTGAGGTGTCCGACGTTTTATCGATCATTTATCCTATGTACACAACAGCAGTGTGATTAACTAACTATGTACAAGGCCAAATATCGTACAAATCAAGTACTTAAAAGTCGCATTTTGGTTCCAACTTGTTGGTTAATTACCTTCCTAAAAGAAGACATGATTATTTGATATTTTTAAGATAGTCTTTTAAACACACGATTTATCAATGGGACCATTTGTCTGTACCACTCAGTTTCAACCCATGTGCCATAATCGTACCACCATATGACAACTTCAAGATCATGAAAATTCATAATAATGAGGTTTTATTAGATTATTTCTGTTGATAATGCTGTTGGAAGTTGCACCACATATTGGGATTTGACTCTTTATACAATAAATTCTTGTTAATTTCTTTTTCCTTGAATTTCTTTAAGAGTCGCCATCAATGACAATGAAGCTTGGGAGTTTTTATTGATACCTTACTTGAAATTGACAGTGATAATTGTTGGAATAGTTGAAAGAAGGGGGAAAACGAAAGTGACTCGAAAGGAGGATTCCCTTTCTAGTTTCTTCCACGGTTATAATATTCTGTAACTACGATATCTTTCAGGATGTCTTTGGTATTCGGGATTTACCGATCAACTATAGATTTATATTGGATAAGTGGAATGCGCTAAAGCAGTGAGAGCGAGAGAATGACAAAGACACCAAAGTATCAACATAACAAGTTTCAGAATAAAGTACTTATATTTTTTAGACTTGCTTATTTTTTTATTTGCCTTTAACTTTTGCTCTTAGTTTTCCTTCAATGGCTGAGGAAGGATTGGAAAAGCAAAGAATTCACCTTGTAAATCACTATTCTTGATTGCTTTCAAGACGAGCAATCAAGAATCAATAACGTTTTGTATTAAAACATATATCAAATCTCTCTCTATAGTCTAAATCCATTGTACAAAGAATCATTAGCAACATTAATTCTAATCACATTATATTCAATCTCACACTTTAACTTGTGAAATTCAAAATAGATCAATATTCACGTACGAACTTAATCGAAGATACCCTTCTCTAGCAAGTTGTTTGATATGATACTACGTTACTATTTTTGGGGTACCATCTTTTGTCAAATCTTGGCTCAAGTTTGGACATTATTATGAGGATAGACATAAAAGAACACAATGGTCATACATTATCTTGTGTTATTTTAACAACTAAAAATTCTTCTTAAGGGAGACATGATAACATGTGGCAAGAAAAATCTCGAGTTCTACACATTTTTTTGTAAAGGAAAAACTAGACATTAAGTGAACCCATTGACAGATGGGCCAACAGAACTTCAACGGTCCTGATCAACAGTTGGTGGGCCAAACCACCAATGATCTTCATGGCGCCAGCTATGCCTTCTCTATTATATTATATAAAAGAGAGGAGGAATGGTCCAACTGTTGAGACAGTTTTCCAGCATGTGGGCCCTCACCACCTGAGCCAACTCCTGGAGATGATAAGGTATGGGCCCTCACACCAGCCCAACTAATTACAAGACAGTTACGCTATTGCCCCTCAACACTATTGTTCAAGTAGCAAATTGGTACTCAATTTTTAAGTACAATCAGTCTCTCTATGAAAGCTCTTGAAATCTTTGTTAAATCGTGATAGGAACCTCGTGTAAACACGTCTTAAATCAAATTTTTGAATGTTGAAACTCATGAAGATTACATAACAATTTAGTAAAGATTTGAGTGTACTTTATCGTTGCTTGGGACTTCTGTTAATAATGAAATTTTGTAGTCTCTCTCATTCATGGCTGTTTTGAACCATTGGCTAATAAAATGTTAAATGTCCCCACACCATTGTATCAATTAATGTTTATGTTGTTCGGAGGAGGATGAGGAAATGGAAATTTTACGTTGTGTCAAAACCTGTAAATTGAAATGGAAAATAATAAAAAGAAAAATGATTGGGCTACCACCCGACTAACACTGGTTGGGTACAAGACTCTTGGATTGAAAAGAAGAAACATCTCCTAGAACGCATTGGACAAGTGTCTTCAAGATAGAGACCTCGTAATAGGGCTACCACTCTATGCTTGAGCTAAAGGGAACCAGATCAAGGAAGTCTTGACACTAAGGGTTCCCTAACGTACTACCAACAAGTTCGCCAACTATTCGATAATTCACATCAATCAATCAACCTGATAGATTGAATCGTCCTATAAATAAAACTCTAATCACCCAAGAATTAGGGTTATTTCAAATTAAAATCAATTTGTCGATCTCATCTTGCCAACCAAAAGGTGCACAATCTGAAAATAATTTCAAATTCCTTTCTTGAATTCTATATTAATTTATGCACCATCAAGTTATCGAGGGTAGTGTCTCATTGAATTGTTCTGTAAGACAAATTGTACATGGGAATAGAAGAGAAGGAACACTCGAGCTTTCAGAAGTTATTAATGGATTTACATATAACATGTCAAAATAGTACCTTCCCAAACCCTAATCTTTAGAGCACAAAGAAATTGTATGAAATTAAAGAAAACAAAGCAAAACTCAATCTTGTCTCAACACATGTTGTTACACATCAAACTACACAAACGGGAGATGAAAATGATGACCATTTCCCGTAATGCTTATTTAAAAATCAACTCGTCTAAAAATTTGAATTTTAGCTAATGATTTGAGTGTATTCGATTAAATCTTGTAATCAATATTATTGAGAGTCGCTCACTTGAGATTCAGATTCCCCATTAGTAGCATCACCGGTCCGATACTGATTTAGCCCAGTGATCATGCCTAGTTGCCCTTCCACTGAACCGCCGCCACCACTAGTTGAACCTAATTGTTGACTAGGCCATAGTGCAACTGGGGTCGGAAAATTCATAAAATGTAGCCCACTAGACATAGTACCTCTATACAAAGCAGCAGCAGCAGCAGCACTGTTATTAACTGAAGGAAATGTCCAAATGGGATCACCACCCATGACTTGGTTATTAGAACCGGCCACCGGCGGCCAAAAATTTGCTGGAATTGAAGCATGACTAGCCGGAATTGAACCAGTACTTGACTGTAGAAAATAATTTCCTATTTGATGCTGAGGTTGTTGTAATTCTTGCTCAAGCCTACGCTTTCTCCCTAAACTCTCCTCAGTTTCCATTAAGTCTAGTGTATTCTCTTGCAACTCCGGCTTAGCCTGCAAAAAATTAGGGTTAAGGCTTGGCGATTGAAAATTCAACAACGTCGTTGAGGAATTCTCCGATTGTAATCCGGTGCTCGGTAAAAGTCCCCGGCGTTGAGGAATCAAAAAATTTGAATCGAAGTACGAAGATCTTAATTGAGATGGCACTGATATGCTGGAACCTGAGCTTCGTAAACTTATATTAAGTGAAGTGAAGTTTGCCGGGATTGTACCGGTTCCCGTGGCGGCAATGACAGCTGGCTCGGCTTGTTGAAGCAGCCATTCGACGGTTTCGCCATCAGACTTATGGCCGAGTTCTCGCGTGAGCTGAAAAACCCTAGCAGCACAGAGTGCAGGCATGCGAATTCGTCGGCCACGTCCATCGACCTTGGTGTGACGGTCTTTCGTTGTCGTACGCTTGGGCGCCGGCTTCTTGGATGTCTCAGCGGAGACATGGTGGCTTGAGGAGGCTGTTGGTGGTGGAGTGGTGTCGCTAGTGTTTAATGTATCAGCCGCGACGGAGATGGCTAGAGATGGATAGGTAGAAGTGGAGGAGCTGGGCTCATCTTCTTTCTTTTCAAGTAATTGGAAAGGAAAGTTGTGGCGGCGGTGGTGGAGATGATCATCGCCTCCTTCCATGATCACACGATCTAAACCCCAGAAAAAGCTTTATTTCTCTCTCTTTCGAAAAAAAAAAAGTGATTTTCTTTAGCTTAATTCTATGTGGTCTTTTGTTTTGTATCTTTATAGAGTGATCTCTCTTCTTCTTTAGATTGATGCCATGGAAGTCCTTTTAGCGAGAGAGAGGATAAGTTAGGAGGACAGGCTTTAAGCAAGAAAGATAATGAGTATGAATTATACAGGTGTGCTCTTAGAAAAGCAGAAATTTTCAGAATTGAAAAAAAAAATAAAAAAAGAAGTGCTTTTCTTGGGCTTGTAATTATTTTTCTCTGAATTTCGATCAACATAATGACACCTTGTGTCATTTAAATATAAATATAAGATTGACGTTTTAAGTCAAAACTTCAAGACTTGATATTGTATCAAAGTTCAAATATATAGCACAAACAAGCAATTCAACGGCTTAAAAAGTTACGTATGATCGAATTTCAAGAAGTGTTTAATTTAATTTTAATTTTGTTTTTGGTTAATATAAATGGGAGAAGGGTGTTTCTTTTGAGCGTAATCGGACAGAGCCTTTGGTTCAAAATCCACGTGGGGTGCTCTTTTTATGATTGAATCCATAAAGACAAAGGTATAGCCAGGTTGGGCCCCAATCGCAAGTCATAAAAATAAAATTTGAGTTGAGAAAGTAAAGACGTTATCATTTCCATTTTACCTTTGTTCTGTGACCTTTGCTGGGATGTTATTTATGAACTGCTTTGGGATTCCTGCAGCTTATTTTTTGCCTTTGCTTTTTTCTCCTTTCTCTGTGGATAAATCTTGTTTAATAGCTTTAGTGGATAAATCTTGGTAATGCAGACATTTGTGACATGCTTGTCACGCTTAACCAAATTAGACCATTTGTTCTTATCTAAGACCTCACAGCTAGCCTTCTATTGACGGCAAATAGACTACGGCGACCAGCCCTATTCAAGAATTGGATCAAACCAGCTCAACTTTTTCTGAGTCAAATTGGTATTAATAGATGAACAGTATTGGAAGATTTTTCAGTTCAACGAAAAATAAAGAATTAAGTTTGGTCAGCTAAATTTATTGAGAAGAAAATCGTCAATGGAAGACTATAGGAGCAGTTGGGACTGAAATAAAAGAGTAGGGGATATCTTTCAGTTAGCAAGTGAGCAACTAGTATAGATACACTAGAAAAATAGTGATAGATGCACTATTACTAGGAAAGCGTAAATTTCACAAACAATTTCATGGTATAATTTGCAATCACGTCAATGAAAATATTGTTTTTCTAAGGAGAAAAAGAAAGGAAAAAAAGTCAACAATCATATGCTCTTTTACTTGCTCTCTTCCACAATCCTCTACCTCTTTTACAGATGCCACAACGAAAAGAATCCCAAGCAAAGTATAGTAAAAATTTAATAGTTACTCGTCACCATCTTCAACTTCATCGTCCTCGTCATTCTCTTCTGAGCTATCACTACCGTTATCCTGCAGTGACTTTTTGGATCAACACTTGCTATAGATAGTAACATACGTCATACAAAGATAGAGAAACTAAAGGAATTGTATAAAGTGAATTTCTCACTGTAGAAATGATTCACTTATTGCAGATATATATATATATATATCACAACTAAAAACCTCGCCATTGAGAATCAAACACCACAAAAGCTAGAGAGATTTTTATAAACTATAAAAGTATGATCCCATTATTTTTAAGATCCGTTCAGTATAAAATTCATGACCATAGAGAGTCCTAGCAGGCACATGAGCGTATTATATTATTGGTTTAGAACTAAATCCATGTACAACTTCTCCATCATCTACACCAAACTGTACGAGTGTCCATAGAGAAGTACTTTTCTTCACTTACCTCATCATCTCCATCATCCACGTCAAGATCTTCTTCATCGGCCTCCTATAGCAATAATACAAAGATCACACTAGGAATATTAAATAGCCACGCAGGTTAAGCTCACCATGAACCTCTGTTAACAAATCAAGGAAAGTACGAAGAGGGGCATGAAAAGAACTTTACATTGTTAAAATAAGTGAGGGGATTTGGCCAGAGATCATCCTTGATTATCTCAGCAACCTGCTAAAATAAAGGTTAAAGATTTACGTAAAATGCCCATACGCCAAAGTGTTTACCTAAAGCCATTCACTAATAAGACAGGATTTACCTCATCATGAATCTCCACTATATCATCCTTATGCTGGGTGTCACTAAACCAGGTAAAGAAGCTGCTAACAGTGTGGCATGAGAATAAGCAATGGAGAGTACACAAGAATATACAAATACTTGCCAAATGGCAATATAATATAGTTCAAGACAATCAATGCAAAGATTAAAGCAAGCAGACAGAATATCTTATTATTACATTTTAAGACCACGAGCCCACATAAAATAAGATAAAATATTGGGGAAAATTGCATATTAGGGTCGTCTTTGCAGATGCTATAAGAAAAAACAAGTCAACCCCCAATCTGATGTATTTTTGGCACATGCACAACCAAAAACATAAAAAGAGTGGTAGTGGTTCCTAAACTTGCTCGCTTGTCCTCTATATGGCAACAACAAATAATTACTGCACGTTTAAATAAATGTAAAGACATACCGTCCTGTGACTGAGAATTAAAAGAAATAACAAATAACGATGTAGATCAGAGCACAAGAGGAAAACAAAGAAGAAGGCATATTGTAAGAGTGCATTCGAGCTGTTTGCAGCAAATTTGGCAACTATACCTGACAATTTCCAGCAAAGAATTGACCGAAGATATTTTTCAAGTTCAGGAATACAGAAACAGCCAAAACAAGTCCACATCTTCTTTGAAATAAAGGAAAATTTCCACTACAAAGATGATTGTATTATCCTAGCTTAAAAAGAGAGGCGCTTAAGAACTCGCAATGTCATCATATTCTTTGAAATAAACATTGGTATGCTTGAATGCAACAATGACTAAGATAGACCAAGAGTCAAGTATCAATCTTCTTAATGTCCCTAAGTGACCAAAGTGACTATTTGTTAGGATGAAGTTGCAACCTAGTCAGCAGCCTATGTTTACAATTTCACGTCAGCTCCATAGCTATATAAAACAAACTAAAGTTTAAACATACAATGTAACAACCTTTCTTCAGAATGAGACCGCTTGTTCCCTTTCGCCTCATTAACACCATTTGGAATGGCCTTCATAGGAAACATGCAAAGAAGCTTAATAAATGGAACTTAGAGAAGTTGCATAACTCAAGGTATGACGGTATCAAAGCTTACCATGCCTTCTTTCCACTTAATTGATGTAGAGCTTATTTTTGTTGTTCCATCCTCTAGGAAGGTAAAAGTCTTTGTGAGTTTGGTATCTTCAAAATACGGATTCGGTTTAAAGTTCTGAGGGGAAAAACAATACATAAAATTAGTAAATTTCATACAGATTACACAAAATATAAAAAATAAAAAAATAAATAAAGAATATTCACAAGTAAAATTCTACAAAAGCAAGAAACAAAAAAAGAAAAGAAAAGAAAAAGACTCACAAATGTAATTGAACAACCCGATTTCAAGTCTTTAGATTCTTCCACTTCGAGGGTAGTCAAATATTTGAAAATCTGGGCATTAAACGAAATAAATTATCCAACTTGTGTTATACTCAAGAACAAGCTTTCAAATTTAGTGAGCACAACAGTTAATTCCATAATAAAACCACTATGATTTTTCTTCATTAGAGAAAGCAGACTGGCAATAGATAAACCTTTTGGTCTTCTTCAGTTAGAAGTTCACTAAGGGCAGGATGACTCAGAAACTGCAAGGAAAAGAACATGTGTCATTGAGAAGGGAAAAAAGGACCGTAGGAGGTGGCGAAGAGTTGAAATTAGCAAGTATTGGATCACTTACAGCAGTCATCCAGAAGTCTGGAATTGACTTTATGATTTCATTTCGCTTATCATAGACTGGCTTCCTTTTCTCACTGTACTTCTGTTCTATTTCCAAGACTTTTTCACTAGCTTCTTCATTGATCTGAAAGCAATAAAAATAGTAATTAACATTTTAGTCCCTGTTTGGGCTCCATTTTTTCAAAAACTCATTTTCAACCACATTTTTCCCATAAAATAATTTTACACGTAAAACCAAAATTTTTCTTTATTTTTTAACCACAAATTCTCCAAAAAAACACCATTCCAAAATACATTTTAACCCAAAAATGGGTACCAAACAAGGGCTTAATATCATAACTTTCTGGTATAAATAATTAACTATACCAAGTTACCAACAGCAGAAAATCATATCAATGTCGCAAAATAAACAAAATACATGCAATTCCTTAGGGCCTGCTTAGGAGTTTTTTTTTTAGGTGGCACAGTTTATGAAGGGTTGGGAAAACCGGTACTTGATAATTTTTTTGGGCACTGATTTTGGATAGTTTTTGAACCACTCAAAAATGGTGTAGTGTAATTTTGATTGTGCTTCTCACCCCACCAAACCGGTGGATTTTAGATGTTACTCAAATTCTTTTCTAATTTTACCCTATATACAATAATTATTTCTAATAAACATATTTTGTTAAAACTAACATGTAAATAAAAATAAATTAATTAAAAAAATTATTTATAAGAAAAAAAAATTACTTTATAATCGAAAATTAATTTATAAGTAAAAATTTACTTATAACATAAAAAATCACTTTTGTGGAAAAAATTGTTTATAAAGTAAAAATACTACTAATAAGACAAAAAACTACATATAAAATATAAAAAATATAGGCAAAAAATTCACTCATGTTTAAAAATTACTTAAAAGTACAATATTATCTTATGATTACAAAATTCTTATAAGTAAAAAATACTAACTAAAAATTTAAAGTCAATATTTTACTTTTTAAGTTGAATATTAACTTGTATATTAAAAAATTACTAAAGAGTAAAAAAAAATTATATAAGAAATTATAAATTGAAAATTTCATTAAGGAAGCATATACGTAATTTTATTCTTTGAAAAACTTTCAGAATTGAAGAATAATAAACTCCAAAAAGCATGGGTTGGGGTGTTTTAAAAATCACTCAAAACCGGTCTACTCATTAACATTCAATATCAGTACTTTAAAAAACACGCATAACCGGTACCCCAAAACTCCCAAGCAGGCCCTTAGGTATCATTATCATGAATTTCAACGGTCATCAAAATCATAGTTGTTATGTGTTGGCTTCTAGATAATAAACAACAACCATAAAACAACTTGAATGTCATTTTTCAAAGCTGAATGTACATTATAGTATTTATGAATTTATTCACAATACAAAGACATCATAGGTGATAGATGCATTAGATAAGGAAGCACGAGTTTCAAATCCAAGCTTATTATATACTTATGGGCCAATTTACAATGCCAATTATTTCATTTTCTTTTAGCAAGAGTTAAATTAAAAAATGGCAAGAATACATTGAAAAGTACTCTTACAAAAACCGTACCCCTGACACAATAATTTTAAGAATGTCCTAAATCTAATAGCATATTAGAATTGAACCACTTTCAATCTCTATCATGAGACAAAGAACATTAACAACTAGGGCCCACTGAATTTCTTCCAATTCTAGGTGCAAATGACTTCAGTATCCTCCTTACCGAACCCAAATAACGGAGAAAATTAAAAGTAGCAATCTTTTCTTAAAACTCTCTATCTAATACAGGAAATCAAAATTCGTACCAAGATTTCGTAACAAGGTCAATTTACCTTTTTTTTTCTGGTCCCTCTCTTACAAAACTCAAATAACTCGGAAAAATTAAAAGTAGCAATTTTTTTCTCTTAAAATCTCTACTTCTCTATCATAGAGAGAAGGAAATTGAAGTAGAAATAGGAAGTCAAGATTCATTAAAAAAAATTAATTTACCTTTTTTGGGTCCTAATTAAAAAACCCAAATAACTCGGAAAAATTAGAAGTAGCAATTTTTTTCTTTTAAATCTCTATTTTTTTTTAACATGGAGAGAAATAGGAAATCAAAATTTATAACGAAATTAATTTACTTTTTCTTTTCAGTCCTCATTAGAAAACCCAAGTAACTCAGGAAAATTAAAAATGTAAAAGAAGCAATTCCCTTTTCTCAAAACTGTCTACTTTTCTAACACAGAAGTAAACAGAATAGAAATTGGAAATCAAAATTGAGAAAAAATTACTTTACCTTTTCAAGCTCGTCTTGGGCTTCCTGGAGCTTCTCAATGGAGAGGAGTAGGTCTCTATCAATGTGCTCTGTCGCGTCGTTTTCTTCTAATTTCTGCTTTTTCCCTTTGTCAACTCCCATTTTTCTTCAAACCCTATAATTTTAGAGAGCGAAAAATTGTTCCACTGCTGTTTTCAGGGCTTTGCTCAAACCCTAGATGAACCCTTTTGGTTTCTTTGTATAGCACATTTATAGTAAGAAAAAGCACCTCAGTGTGCATATGGTAGGGGAAAACAAAGGAGAGGGCTTTTAGGGTTTTGGTAATTTTATTACAACGGCGTCGTAAGTAGCGCTTATTTGGCTTCAAGAATTGTTTGTGAAAGGAGCATTTATTTATTTATTTTTAGGATAACTGCACAAATACTTTACTTTAATTCATAAACCTTAATTTTAAATATCATCTTTCACATTTTTAAGATAATTTTAAATCAATATTTTACATTTAAGTCGTTTTATAAATTTTCTAAATATTCTTCATTTTCATTAGCAGTCAATATTTCATTTTTTTTAAAATAAAAATTAACATTTTTTTACAAATTACATGTTAGGTTAGTATATATGTTATTGTTTAAAATATCTCTAAAAGTCTTTTATTTTTAAAGAGCGTATTCTATTATGAGCATATAAAAATTTAGAGAGTTAAAATTTTAAAGTATTCCAATAAGCTATTTACATTTCACATTTAATTTTACTACTCCCAACAAATATATATTATTTTTCTTTATATTTTATTTTAACTAATTTTTCTTTGAATTATTTTATTATTTTTCTATATTGAAAATTGAAACACTTTGAATGCATTTAATTATAGAAAGTGAGTTCGACTCACGAAATTATTTAAATTAAAATGTTAATTTAAAAAGTCTCTTAAAACATGATTTTAAAAGTTGACTTTTTACATAGAGTATCTAATAAGTCTATTAAAGATGCTCTTACTTGTAGAGTAATAATAAAATTTATTCAATTTTTTTTTATTAAAACAATGTTTTAGAAATGCGTGTTATTTTTGTTTCAAAAAAAAAAAACATTTTACGTGATAACAAATTGTGTTGGCTTTGCTCTTGGTGTAAATCATGATTTACGCCAAGCTTTACATTCTATCACATAACAATACACCGATGGACACTTAAAAAAAAAACCAATCATGCTTGGTTAAATCATGGTTTACACCAACTTTTACAGTTTACCACATGGTAATACACTATTGAACAATTTTAGAAAAAATATTTTTTCAACCAATCATTGCTTGACAACAATGATAATGTCAAGCATGATGTAAACAAAAGATGTGCCGATTGATTAGATTAGAAAATTCAAAAATGGACTCAAAACGTATCCAGTTATATACTCAAATTTCATAATTAAATTGATATCAACTAACCGGTTAGTGTTTTATTTAGGACACACAAAAATATCCGTTGAAAGAAATAGTTCGCTTGAAATAAAATTTAGTTGTTAAAGGATGATTCAACCTTCACATATTGTGCCAAGTTGTTATGAATATTTTTGACACATTAAATCATATTATTTGATTGTTGATCCAATTTTTTAGCCAAAAAAAAAATGTAGATATACTAATTTTTGAAAGCTAAATTTAGGAATTAAAATTTTTGTATTTTGTTCGATTTTTTAAGATAAACAAAATTTAAGAATTCGGTTCTATTTTAAAAAGTCAAGCCAGACGTGCACTAATTTAGAATCAAAGATGGATTGACTGAGTTTTAAATCCATGCGATAGCATAATTTACGGATATTGATACGTATTGGAAGAAAAAAATTCAACTAATACAATTATTTTTTTATAATGACCAAACAATAAAATTGTGCATTAAATCATGGTATATTACAAGATTTATAACATCAACGAAGTGGGATGCACCATTAAAGTGTGTTGTTGATCGCCAAATGTAAGGAATTCGCTTATTGGAGGAACGAAGATGCTACAATTTTAAGATATTGGATTGGAAATGACATTATGTTCATAAGTTAGGGTCTACAGTGAAATTTTAGCTTAAGGACATGTTTCTTGTAAGAACGATGTCATAATAATGACCTCTTGACCAAAATAATTTGATGGCAGTTCAGTTTTGTGCCTAATTAAAAATAGTTGTGCTATACGTACATAGTATGTTCGTATAATGATTTAAGTATACATGATGTGGTAAGATATGATTGAATCAAATTTTTTTCAGCCAAATAAATATTTAAAAAAAACTTCTCCACACTTTTTTTGACATTTCATTTGTATGTAAATGATTGTGTAACTGTTTATGTACAAGTAGCATTATTCAAATGTCCATACATAAACAAAAGAATAATATTATTTATCATTATGATGATGAAATATCGATGATGTGACACCCTGATAATTCTCACATTTATCTTCCTTTCTCTCCCCCTCATTTCTCTCATAAAAAATTGAACTAATCAATAACATAATTCTATATACATAATTTACGGATATTGATACGTATTGGAAGAAAAAATTCAACTAATATAATTAATTTTTTATAATGACCAAACAATAAAATTGTGCTTTAAATCATGGTATATTTATGACATCAACGAAGTGGGATGCACCGTTAAAGTGTGTTGTTGATCGCCAAATGTAAGGAATTTGCTTATTGGAGGAACGATGATGCTACAATTTTAAGATATTGGATTGGAAATGACATTTTCAAGAGAAGAAATTACAACAATGTTCATAAGTTAGGGTCTACAGTGAAATTTTAGCTTAAGGACATGTTTCTTGTAAGAACGATGTCATAATAATGACCTCTTGACCAAAATAATTTGATGCCAGTTCAGTTTTGTGCCTAATTTAAAAATAGTTGTGCTATATGTACATAGTATGTTCATATAATGATTTAAATATACATGATGTGGTAAGATATGATACTGATGAAATATCGGTGATGTTATTTATCATTATGATGATGAAATATCGGTGATGTGATAATCTATGTAGAATATCAAGCAGTTCATTTTTTGCGAGAGAGGGGGGAGACGAGAAAGAAATATGAGAGATAATGGATTGATACATTACCGATATTTCATCATCATCATGATAAATAACATTACTCTAAACAAAAACGGAAGTAAAAAGCCAGAATTTGGACACATTCTAATCGCATATTTGTAATTAACAAAAGTACTCATGTTTAATAGAAAAATGATCTGATCCTTTTGGGTTCACTGAGATTTGCCCATTTTCTTTCTTTTTCAATCTGTAAGTATCTAATTTTCTTGTTTAGATATGTTCTCTTCATTTATCCATAGTGTGAAGAATAAACACGCCAATTGCATCAAGATCCAGGCTCAATATTGATCGAACACTACAGTTACCAAACCAATCGCCAAAACCATCACTTCCCAAAGACAACCGGTTGTTCCACTTTCTACAGCCTACAAAGAGCTTGAAAAGGTGAAAGAGATTAAGGCCTAAAGGTGTTAACCACAAAGGAATAAGGAGAAAAACAGATTGCTCAAAAGGACACAAAGTCAGAGCACATAGCAAGAGCAAGGACCAAAAATTGTGTTTTCTCTCCTCTAACACGGCTGCCAATCAATTTAACAATAAACCAACAGTAATGGGCATCAACTTAAATAGGTTAAGTTTAGAAATGGGCTTTAGGTCAAATGATAGGCCCAATATCAGAATAGATAAGCAGGCTAGCAACTTAAAGCAACATATATCATTTGGGTTGGGCCATGAATAGCACTAATATGATTAGGCTGTTTTAAATGGCTTAAGCGAATGGCTTAAGCGGATTACGTGATAAGTGTGTCAATTGTGGTGTCGAAACATATTCAGTCAATTGGTCGAGACTGTTGGGCGAAAATCCCGCAAGCGTACGGGTTCGTTGTACAAGTAATAATTGTGATGAGTGATTTATCGTCCCACGAGGAATAAATTTTAATTTTAGTGTATTCGATATATTTAAATTCGCAAGTGTAACAAAAGATAG